AATGTTTTATGTGCTTGTTGTCCATGCATACATCTTTTTGAGAGAAGTGTATATTCAACTTATTTTCCCGTTTTTTTAATATGATTTTTATTTTTAACCAAGAAATACCTTTTAAGTGATCAGACCTGGAACCTTGCCAGGTTTAATGATTATCAAAGCAGAACCATATTTTGACTTTTGAAGTTATCTATTATTATAGTCTTGTTTTTCATAATTACTTGAATATTATCAGCATCTCTGGACCCTTTGTACTTAAAACATAGTATTTTAGATCTTTATATTGAAATATTCAGTACGTCTTGAAAGTTTTAATATAGAACACTCTACTTTGCATTTCTTTATATCCTAAAATGCAATTATAAAAAGGGTGTCATTTCCTCTGCCAATTAAGTAGCCTTCATTGGTTGATATTGAACAAGTTGCTGATACTTGTTTCTGTCATGTTTACTTTTTTAAAAAAATATTTTTTGCTTTCTTGTTGATACTTCCAAACAATTGCTAGGTTAATTTGTCAGTTGCAAATGTGAAATAAAATTGTCTTTAGCAGTCTTTCAAATAAAATTTTCGTTGAGACTAAAGAGATACTGGATTACAATCAACATTTGTAGATATGTCATATATAGAGAACCAAAAAAAATTATAAATCTGATATAATTATCAGTGTGCCATATGGACATGGCTCATGCCTGTAATCTCAGCATTTTGGGAGGCCGAGGCAGGTGGATCACTTGAGTCTAGGAGTTCAAGATTAGCCTGGGCAACATGGTGAAACCCCATCTCTATAAAAAATACAAAAATTAGCCAAGCGTGGTGGTACACACTGTAGTCCCAGCCGTTTGGGAGGCTGAGGTGGGTGGATCATTTAAGCTCGGTAGGCAGAGGTTGCAGCGAGCCGAGATTGTGTCTCTGCACTCCAGCCTAGGTAACAGAGCGAGACCCTGTCTCAGAAAGCAAAACAAAAACACCCAAATATCAATGTGCTGTGAGACCTCATATTGTATGTGTTCATTCCCCCAAATTGGAGCATTTTAAGAAGCAAGAAGAGCGCTCTAAATTAGTTTATATCTTGCTTTTCTCCTTATGTTCTGTAGATTCTTTAGTACTCCATAAGAAAAATTTGCTCTAGAAATCATGAAAACTGCAAATGCGTTATATCTTCTATGAAACCACTTTTAATTTAGTTGATAAACCCTGATCATTGTTGCACTATACATTCAGAAAATGTATAGCAGTGACTATTTTGTAAATATGAAGAGTTCATATTCAGCACATTCAGCAATGGCTTATATCTAAAATGGTTATTGAAGAATACTTTAAAAAATGTCTTTGCCTAGAGTCTTTAAAGCTGGCACTTTAAAACTATGTTTCATGGATTGTCAGTTGGAATGGACTTCAGGAGGTCCGTAAGTCCATGAAATGACAGTTTTTTAATGTGTGAATTTTTCTGAGGATACATAATTTTTATCATATTCTCAAAAGAATCTAAAACTCAAAAAATGATTAAGAGCCACTGATATAAAATGTTGATAAAGGCCATGGTGGATCACATTATACATTGATTCTCATTCTTCAGAAGCTTTGCATGTGTGAGTTTACCTGCTCACTAAAATGTACTTGTAAATCCAAAACCAGTACTCAGGGTGCTTTTATAGTCATTTGTAGACATGTGGAGAAGCAAAAAATTTGAGTCACCTTATGTGTTCATTCCTCTCTGAGGTCAAAGAAGGTAATGATTTGCCTTGTTGTTTCAACTGTCATACTGTAAACAAGTGTCCTTTTCAATGCATATATAGTGACATATTAATCACATTTTTTTGTTGTTGATTTTTCTGTTTAAAAAAATCCCGAGCATAGTGCAGATATGCTGTCTAGTGTTTCTAAGCATAAGAAGGCTGTGACACACCTTAGAGAATAAAAATCTGTAATAGACAAACTTGGTTCAGGCATGAGTTACATTACTGTTGACTGTGAGTTCATTGTTAATAACTCAAATATGAAGTATCAATGTCTGTATAAATAGTTAAATATAATTTTATATAGATATAAATATAAATCATTAAAATACAGAATCTTTAAACAGAAACATACATTTTAGAAATTATGTATTGGCATTGGTTGACAAAGATGTTGTTTGGAGAGGTTTGCAGGAAACTAACCCTATCTTTTTCCCAGGAACAATAATTCTGCAGGAGGCAGAACCTGTTTTCCAAGTTGGAATACAGTGGCATGAACATGGCTCACTGCAGTTTTGACCTCCTGTGCTTCTTCTGCCCCAGCTTCCAAAGTAGTTCGGACTACAGGCACATGTCACCATGCCTGGTAATTTTTGTATTTTTTGTAGAGACAGGGTTTCTCTTGCTCAGACTGGTCTTGAATTTCTGGGCTCAAACAGTCTTCCCATCTTGGACCTGCAAAGTGCTGAGATTAGAGATGTGAGCCTCCATGCCCAGCTCTAGTTAACCTTTTGCAGTGTTTTTTTGTTTTTGTTTTTTTTAACTTAATGTTTCTAAATTCCTTCTAGGGTAAACATAGAAATTTCTTCTAGGCTAATACATAGAGACTCGGTCATTTACCGCTTCATAGTATCACACATCAGATACTTCTGACATAACCATGATAAATGTTAGTGGTTTCATGGTCTTATTTACACTCCAGCTCTACCAGAATTCACTAATCTACTTCAGGTTTCTGTCTGAAATACTTTCTTTTTTCTTTTCTTTTCTTTTTTTTTTTATACAGAGTCTCACTCTGTTGCCCAGGCTGTAGTGCAGTGGCCCCATCTCAGATCACTGCAAACTCTGCCTCCCATGTTCAAGTGATTCTCCTGCCTCAGCCTCCCGAGTAGCTGGGACTATAGGTGCACACCACCACACCCAGCTAATTTTTATATTTTTAGTAAAGACGGAGTTTCACCATGTTGGCCAGATGATCTGCCTGCCTTAGCCTCCCAAAGTGCTAGGATTAACAGGCATGAGCCACTGCACCCGGCCTCTGTCTGAAATATTCATATTATTCATCATACAGTATATTGGGCTATAGTACTGTATTTTGCTCCAGGGTGTTGATAACCATTTACGCTGAGTTTAGCCATTTTACTTAAGAGTCTACTAATTCATTGTAGATAAAGAGTTACTAGTTTGGCATGGTGGAGCATGCCTGTAATCCCAGCACTTTGGGAGGCCGAGGCAGGTGGATCGCTTGAGTCTAGGAGCTCAAGACCAGCCAAGACAACATGGCAAATTTTATCTCTACAAAAATTACAAATATTAGCCAAGTGTGATGGTGCATGCCTGTAGTCCCAGCTACTCAGGGGGCTGAGGTGGGAGGATTATTTCAGACTGGGAGGTAGAGGCTGCAATGAGCCATGATCATGCCGCTGTGCTCCAGCCTCAGAGACAGAGCAGTACCAGAAAAAAAATTAGAAGATTTCTTTATCTAACAAATATAAGTTGTATATTTGCATAGTTGATTGCATTCATGAAGTCAAAGTATTTTTTATTCATTAAATCTAAAGGAAGTTGGAGCTCTCTGCTTTTGATAACATGAAGTAACAAGTACTGTACTTATCCTCCATCTAAAATGATAATTAAAGAAAATTTGTGTGTTTATCTCTTAAGACACAGAGCAAGCATTTGATAAAATCCAACATCCATTCCTCATAAAATCACTCCTGAAACTGGTGATAGAGAGGAACTTCCTCAACTTGATAATTAGCATCTATAAAGAACCGATGGTAACATTATATTTACTGGTGAAAGTCTGAATGCTTTCTCACTAAGATCAGGAATAAGATAAGGATGTCTGCTTTCACTGCTTCTGTTCGATATTGTACTAGAGGTTCTAGCCAGTGCAATTAGTCAATAAAAAGAAGTGCTTCTAGATTAAAAAACAGAAGTAAATCAATCATTATACTTCAGTGATATGATCATCTATGTATGTTATTCTGTAGAATCTACAAAAAGGTACTAGAATGAATAATTGAGTTTAGCACGCTTGCAGAATATAAGATCAGTACTTAAAACTCGTGTAGTTTTCTGTACTAGGAAAAAAAATTTGAAATTGAAATTTAATAAAAGAAATATTTTCTATCACATAAATAATACAGTATACTTGGGGACAAATCTGACAAAAGATCTGGAAGACCTTTACTCTGAAAACTGTAAAAACATTACTAAATGAAAATAAGTGAACAGTTTCCTTACGTATGATACTAGTAGAATGATCCATTTAAAATTGATTAATTGTACATCAGCTATATACATAAGCCAAAATTTAAACAGTTGTACACCTTAAATATGTACAGTTAATTTTGTTAATTCAAATCCCTATACTACTGTTAAAACATATTAGAAAAACAAACTAAAGGAATTTATGTTCATATGACAGTAAATGAGTTGTCTGAACTCACCTCAATTTTTTTTAATTATACTTTAAGTTCTAGGGTACATATGCACAACGTGCAGGTTTGTTACATATGTATACGTGTGCCATGTTGGTGTGCTGCACCCATTAACTCGTCATTTACATTTTTAATCCTAGGATGAATCCATCTCTAAAAAGTACTGAACATCTCTGAAAAGTTATGAATGTGGTATAGATGTTCTCCCATAACCTCCTATGTACCAATTATTGTTATCAGGAAATCAGAACTAGCTTAAATAGTCATAACATTGACCACCTGCTTTCCTTGTTAAATACATTTGACTACTAACTTAATGTTTTCAGTTAGCCCTCTAAAATTTGAGAAAGCAGCATCTTTTTTACCTTTTTGCCTGATTTCTACAGGCTTTCTGATATCTAGCTGGCCCTCTAGATCATTGTTGGCAGTTTGAAATATGTGTGATTATGATGCAGAGTATTTTAAATATTATAAATATTTGATCAATATTTTTATCATATAAATTTTTTTCTTTAAAAAAATAAAATTTAGAGATGGGGTCACATTATGTTGCCCAGGTCTTGAATTCCTGGGCTCAAGTGATCCTTCTGCCTTGGCCTCCAAAAGTGCTGGGATTACTGATGTGAGCCACTGCACCCAGGCTAGAGTACACTTTTGATAAATATTTTTGATTACGTAGAATAATTTTACGGTGAGTTCAAAGTAGGCTTTTGCAGTTTTTATTGTGGACATGTATTTATACTGTTAGTTTCAGGATATCTTTACTTATCATCTCCTGTGTTTTTAATCATGATGTTTCCTTTTCAAACAACACATTATGATGAAAGATCAGTTTTCAATGAAATCATTTATAAGTATGTACTAGCTACTGCAACTTCGGGGTTTGGAAAGGAAAAATTAAAGTGCGCTATGTTTACATGTTGGAAACGTTGGAAAAATCAGTCTAGGATTGGAAGAAGATGGGAAGATTTAGGAGTAATTGTTAATGGGTACAAGGTTTCTTCTTAGGGTGAGAAAATGTTCTAAAATTATTTGTGGTGATGGTTACACAAGTATGATTATACCTAAAATCATTGAATCATACACTTTAACTGGATAAATAAAAGGCTTTTATATTGGAAAGGAAATAGTAAAACTGTATCTGTTTGTAGATAACATGATCTTATATACAAAACAAAAATCTTAAGGAGTCCCCTAAAAATCTATTAGAGGTAATAAATGACTTTTCACACTACCCACATAGGGGTCCATATGGCGTTCTGGATTCCCATCATAGCTTAAAGCGAAACTTTTCACCATGTCCGGAGCCCTTGATGTCCTGCAAATGAAGGAGGAGGATGTCCTGCAAATGAAGGAGGAGGATGTCCTTAAGTTCCTTGCAGCAGGAACCCGCTTAGGTGGTACCAATCTTGGCTTCCAGATGGAACAGTACATCTCTATGAGGAAAAGTGATGGCATCCACATCATAAATCTGAAGAGGACCTGGGAGAAGCTTTTGCTGGCAGCTCATGCCATTGTTGCCAATGAAAACCCTGCTGATGTCAGTGTTAGATTATCCTCCAGGAATATTGGCCAGAGGGCTGTGCTGAAGTTTGCTGCTGCCACTGGAGCCACTCCAGTTGCTGGCCACTTCACTCCTGGAATCTTCACTAACCACATCCAGGCAGCCTTCCAGGAGCCACGGCTTCTTGTGGTTACTAACCCCAGGGCTGACAACCAACCTGTCACAGAGGCACGTTATGTTAACCTATCTACCACTGATTTGTGTAACACAGATTCTTCTCTGCACTATGTGGACATTGCCATTCCATGCAACAAAAAGGGAGCTCACTCAGTGGGTTTGCTGTGGTGGATGCCGGCCCAGGAAGTTTTGCGTGTGTGTGGCACCATTTCCCATGAACACCCATGGAAGTTGATGCCTGATCTCTACAGAGATCCTGAAGAGATTGAAAAAGCAGAGCAGACTGCTGCTGAAAAGGCTGTGACCAAGGAGGAATTTCAGGGTGAATGGACTGCTCCAGCTCCTGAGTTAACTGCTACTCAGCCTGAGGTTGCAGACTGGTCTGAAGGTGTGCAGGTACCCTCTGCACCTATTCATCAGTTCCCTACTGAAGACTGGAGCGCTCAGCCTGCCACAGAAGGCTGGTCCGCAGCTCCCAGTGCTCAGGCCATTGAATGGGTAGGAGCAACCACTGAAAGATCTTAAGCTGTTCTTGCACACACTCTTAAGCAACATGGAAATAAGGTTGATGGAAAATAAACGTCAGTTTCTTAAAAAAAAAAAAAAAGTAATGCATTCAGCTAGGTTGACAGATAAAATACCAAGATAGAAAAATCTATTGGATTTTTGCACAGTATTAGTGGACAAACTGAAAATGAAGTTATGAAACAATTTCATTTAAATATCTTAAAAAGAAATAATGTACTTAAGTATAAATATAACAACAGAAGTGTGAAACTTATACTCTAAAAACTACATAACATTGAAAGACATTAAAGGAAACTAAATGGAAAGACATTAAATGTTGATATTTTGAAAAGATTTAATATTTTTAGGATGGCAGTTCTCCCCCAAATTGATCTAAAATAAATTTAAATTTCCTACTAAAATCACAGCTAAATTCTTTGCACAATTTGACAAGCTGCTCTTAAAATTAATATGGAAATTCAAGGGACCCAGTATAGCCAAAACAATCTTGAAAAAGACCAAAATTGTGTTTCTCACTTCCCAATTAAAAAACGTATGATGAAGCCATACCAATATGTAGTTCTGGCATAATGATAGACATATCTATTAATGGTATAGAATTGAGAACAGAAATAAACCTTCACATTTATGGTAACCTGTCTTTCTATAAGTGTGCCATGGCATAAAGAATAGTCTTTTCAATGAAGGGTACTAGAACACCTGCCCATCCATATGGAAAAAAAAAGAAGCTGGACCCCTATTTCATATGTAAAAATTAACTCAAAATGAATTAAGGACTTAGCTGTAAGAATTAAAACTGCAACCATTAGAAGAAGACATAGGGATACATGTTTATGACCGGGCATAGGATATGGGCTGGCAAATGATTCTTAGATAGGTCACGTGCATGAGCAATAAGAGAAAAGAATACATAAATTAGATTTTGTCGAGTTTTGAAACTTTTGTGCTTTAAAGGACACCATCAAGAAAGTGAAAAGACAACCCACAGAATGGGAGAAAATTGCACTCACATATCTATTTTATCTTGAATATATAAAGAATTATTTAGACTCAATAATGATGAAAAGACAAATAACTGACTTTTTAAAATGGGCAGAATATCTGAATAGGCAGTTTCCCAAAAGAAGATATACAAATGACTAAGGAGCACATAAAAAGATTCTCAACATAATTAGCTGTCAGGTATATTAAAATCAAAACTACAATGAGATACCGTTTCACTCCTGCTAGGATGATGGGTATAATCAGAAGAACAGAAGTTTTGGCAAGGATTTGGAGAACCCTAAGCCATTGCTGGTGGGAATGTTAAATGGTGTAGCCTTTTTGGAAAAGAATCTTGCAATTCCTTAACTATTTGAACATAGAGTTGCCATACACAGCAATTCTGCTCCTAGGTGTATACACAAGACAAATGAAAATGTTTGCACAAATGTTTATAGCAGCATTATGTATAATAGCCTAAACATGGAAACACCCCAAGTGTGTTACTAACTGATAAGTGAATAAACAAAATTTGGAATATCCATACAATAGAATATCATTTGACAAAAAAGAAATGCAGTACTGATACATGTTACAACATGGGCAAATTTTGAAAATATGCTAAATGAAAGAAGCCAGTCATAAAAGCACACGTTTTATGATTCCGTGTCTGAGAAGTGGCCTGAACATGCATATTTTTAGAGACAGAAATTAAATTAGTGTTTGCCTAGGACTTGTGAGGATGAGATTTTTGCAAGTGGTGACTCAAGAGTGAACTGTTTTTTTTGAGGGGTGTTGAAAAATGTTCTAAAATTGATGTGGTGATGCCTGTACAACTTGAAATATACTAAACACCATTGAACTGTACACTTCAAAGGGATGAATTGTGTAGTATGTGAATTATGTCTTAAGAAGCTGATAAATAAAGAATATATATTTATTGGACTGTTTTACCCTTCAAATGGATTTTACCCATATGTGATATTTTTTACCATGATACATTGATCATTTGCAGAGTTTTTGTTCCTTAAATTATGCATATCCTACAAATGTAAAATGTCTCATTTGTCAATATCACTACTAAACAAGAAAATAGTCTGTAAGCATTGGGAACCTCGCTGGTGGATATGAGTTTTACATGATCATAATTTTCAGAGACCCAGGGAGAATTATCTCCCATTTTTTGGTTAGTTTTCTGTACACTGTTGCCTAATTGTCTTTCTGAAATACAGATTTATCATGTAACTCTCTGATCCCAGCCTGCTTGTCATTGTCATGCACAGTTAGTCCTTCATAAAATATGCTATTATGGGCCCCATCTTTTACTAAATTCAGAGAAAGCCTGCCCATGTCTCTGTATTTTTGTGCGTATGAGTTTCTCTATTTATAATTCACTTTAGTTTATTTTTGTTGTTTTCAGCCTGGTAAAATCTTCAAACTTCAAGAACCAGCGTATCTGTCATTTACTCTTTGACCTTTTCATTATGCCCCATATTCTTTGGTGCTTTCCAAGTATTTTGTTCGTACCTTTGTTATAACACTGCTTGTATTTTGTTTTCATGCTTACTCCTCCACTAGAGCTATGAACTTCTGATGACTTTATTTGTGCTTGTATTGCCTCACAGAGTACTTTTAGATATAATAAGAGTCTCTTGGCTTAACAAGTGCCTAATTTTATTGTGGGTGCTCAGTAATACTTTTATTTTGATGATGTTATAATTGAGGTATGAATCAGACTCCCCTTACACTTTCTGCATATAAATCTTTTTTGTAAAAGAACTCTATTCATTTTAATTATCCTATGAAAACTTAATTACCAATATTGTTTGTAGATGTCTGTTGCCAGATTTTTTAAAAAAAGATGCATTACCATCCCCATAAGTGATATTGCCTTTTGCTTTTTTTCATATAAAAATGACAACTTTGCCTGTCAAATTATAAAAAATGGTTTCTCATTATTTTCATTTGCCATTCTTCTAGAGAATATATATGTTTCTTGTTTGTTAGTGTTTATATCATTGCTCTTTTTAAAAAATTGTAGTTATGCAAGAATGGGTATAGGCAGGCTAAAATATGGACTCTCCAGAAATGTGGATATGCCTGGGAAATTGTCATTTGATTCACCTGTCTTCACAATGAGCATTTTGGACCATGATACAGTTGTTAGTACCTATTTACACTTGGCCGATAGGCGGGCTCAAAGCTGTAGTCTCTTATTAGAGTCAGACAAGGGAGGCCGGAATGGCAAGAGCCATTTTTTTTTTTTAACTGCTGGTGCTACCTCAGCAGCACCAGGAGAGTGGCAAAGGGGGCTTCTTCAAAGATTTTATGGTATCTTTACTTTATGTTAAAGTCTAAGCTATCAGTATTTTTCTTTGTAGTATTCAGTGTATGTGCCATAGTTAGGAAATCTTTCTCTGTCTGTTATTAAAATAAGTGGTTGAATTTTCTAATACCTTTGTGAGTTCTGTTTTGTTTTGGTTTGTTTTTTCATTTGTATGGGGTTTTTGTTGTTGCTGCTGCTGTTGTTGTTTTTACACTTTTGGTTAAAGATTTTTTGGTTAAAGTGTGACAGGAGAAACTTTTCTTTTTTTCCCTGAAAATGGTTCGATCTATATGCCAGCTTAATGTACTAATTCCCTCATTTCCATCTAAAAAAAAAAATCACCTTTATTTTAATACTATATTGCCATAGGTACTTGGTCTGTGTTTGAACTCTGTATTTTTCTGTTGAGCTCTGTATTAGTACCAAATTGTTTCAAAAGCAATTAACAAATAATACATTTTAATACCTCGTAGTAAACTGCTCCCTTAATCCCATCATTATTACTCATCTATTTCAGAAGGTAGGTACTTTCTTATTATTCTTCCACGTGAATTTAAAAATCATATTGATATTTTCAAAATATCACACTGGACTTTGTAGGTTCTTTGGGAAGAAATAACATTTTTAGGGTAAATTTTTGTTTTTTTATCATATATCAAGATTTTCATTTTAATTTTTTATTTCATAGCTTTTTATTATCAAAAATTTCAAACATACACAGAGAAAGAATAATAGGTATAATGAACTCCATGTTCCTGCTATCCAGCTATCTAGCTTCAGTAATTATTTACAGTTGCCAAACTTGATTTAAGTACCTCTCCTATGAAACAAGTCCCAGATGTCTTATTTCATCCTCAAATTCTCCAGATTGCCTGAGAATTGTCTCAAAAAACCCACCATCATATTATTCACAGTGGTAATTTCTAAATGTTATTAATATCCAATTTAGATTCGCATTTCATAATTGTTTCAAAAATAGCCTTTTACAGTAAGTTTATTTGAATCAACATCTAAAGAAGAATTCAAACACTGTATTTGTACCTTGTGTCTTTTATTATTACTGCTTTTCTCTCTCTCTTGTCTTTCTCTCTCTCTCTGTCTCTCTCTCTCTTTCTTTCTTTCTTTCTTTCCTGTCATTTACCTTTTTTAAAAAGAGAAACTGGGTTATTTTTCCAGGAGAATATCTCACTTTCTGAATTTGGTTAGTTGCTTCATATTTAGTATTTGCTGAGAGTTAGAGCTAGAGATTTGGTTAAACTCAGGTTTCATTTCTTTAGGCAAGAATCTTCTTAAAGTGATGCTCCATCATTTCCATTTTATCTCATCTGTGAGCCATCACATCTGGTTGTTCCGCTTTTAATGATGCTGAGATTAATCACTATGTTCAGGTGTAGGTTTTTTGTTTGTTTGGTTTTCTTTCTGCTATTGTATATAGAACATTTTCCTTACTGTTTTTCTAATACGTTATTGTTGGTATCTGAGAAGATTTTTAAAGCATATGTTTTAGTAACGGACATCTGACCAAACTCTCCTTACTGCGTCAACATAAAAATCATGAGATCTGTAAATCTGGAAAAGAGAACTTTATTTCTGAGAAGGGTTACAACCTGTAGGCTGGGAAGCGCAGCCTCTGGATTAGATCAAAAGTAGGCATTTCAAAGAGGATGGGTGAGAGAGGAGTTTTATACTAACTGGGTTAGCTGCATACATGTTTAACAGGTTATAGGAGGAGCTATGAATATTCATGAAAGGGATCACATGTATGCATGATGAGCAAACATAACATGTTACGTG